GGGTGGGTGGGGGACAGGGGCTGAGGAGGCGCCCCGAGCTGCCCCCGGATTCCTGCCAGGTTGGCCACTACCCAGGAGAGGTGCCAGGCATTATGGGTGAGGAGATGCCTTTCTGTCCCCAACTTCGGACTTCAGGGCCGGCCCTTAGGGACATCAGGGACGCCCGAGCCGCGGGCCCTGGGGACCTGGGAGGGTGCATCTGAGGGGCAGCTGTGGGGATGGACGGACAGATGGACAGATGGATGGCGGATGGATGACGCTGCCCCTGCTGTGGTCACAGGGACGGAAGGCTAGGGACAGGGCCAGGAGCGCTGAGGTGGGCACAGAAGGACAGCACAGGGGTCTGGGGGACCCCACTTGCTTTCTAAATCAGCTCCTTCTGGTCCTTCTACTCCTCCCTTCCTCCCCACCTCTCTCAATTCCTCTTCCTCCTTTTCCTCTTCCTCTTTCTCTTTCCTCTTCCCTCCCTTCCCGAGAAAGAGCAGCCCCCCCTTCTCCCCGTGGACTCTGGGTCTGTGGTCGCCCAGGCGCTTGGCGGTACCCGTGGGAGCCGAAAGCCCCGGACACCTTGGAGCTGCAACCCCGGCATGAAAGGCCCGCTGCCCGCTGCCCCGCCTGACTCTCCACAGCTGCCGGGAACGGGGTGCAGGTCCCTCCTCCCCTCCTGCCCTTCCCGAAAACCGGCCCCGGAGAAGGTCTGGCTGCCCAGAGGCTGGGACCCGAGCCAAGGCGCTTCCGGGCTATGGCGGACAGGCCAGAGCTGTCTCCCTCCCTCCTCGCACTCAGCCAGGACGTCAGGGGCTCAGGCCTTCAGGGGAGCCGGCTCCTCTAGTCCCTGTGGACTCGAGGCTGCAATTTTGCTCATCTCCAAGGCCAAGCTGGATTTTGGAATAGGGGACCTCACCGAGTGCTGGTAACTTCAGAAAAACAAGACAGAAATGAATGAATGAATGAATGAATGAATGAATAAATAAATAAATAAATAAATAAATAAGCGAAGAGGGGTGCAGTCTCGCTTCATAGCTCAGGTTGGCTTCAAATTTGCAGTGATCCTCCTGCCTCAGCCTCCTGAGTGCTGGAATTACAGGAGAGTGACACCACGCCCAGATTCTCTCCTAAGGGTCCTGAGTTTCCCTTTCAGCTCCCCAATTCCTGAGGGACCCCTAGGACTAGCATTTTGGGGTGAGGCAGGGGTGCAGGAGGCTCCGGTCTGTATCTCACCTCCTGCAATTGCTCAGGTTTAGCGGGGTGAGGACAGGCTGTGGGGCACAGCCAGAGGACAGGACCAGAGAGACAGCCGGGCCTGAAGCAAAGCCACCCAGAGCCTGGGGACCCCTGAAGGTGCTGTGGCCTGCAGCCTGCTCCACACGTCTTGGGAGGGCTCTCCTTGCTGGTCCCCCTCAGGGGCCTACAACCTGTCTTTGTCCCTGTGGAGGGCTGAGGCAGGAAAGTTGCAGGTTCAATGGCCTGGATGGGGTCCCCCGAGTAGGGACCTCAGCCCCCTGCTGCCTGCCCCAAGTCCTGGACCACTCCGCCCTCAGTCCCACCGGCCGCCGGGTGGGATGCCTGGGCCGGATGGTGCTGCAGGGCTGTGCGTGCTCCCATCCCACAGAAGTCAGGAAGCCCCCGGAGGTGGACCCCATCCTGGCGTCCGCCTAGGCCACGCAGGCAGTGCAAGCCGGTAGCGCGTGGTGCCAGTGGCGACGGCGACATCGCAGCCCTCGGGGAAGCTGAGGCAGGAAGATCTACCAGCATGAAGCCCAACCCGGGCAACTTAGAATCTCCATGTCACGCTGTTTCAAAATCAAAAAGTGAAGACGTGGCTGGGGACGCGACTCACAGTACCTCAAAACAGACAGACAGACATCTTGAAAAAGAAAATCAGCACCTGCTCCCTGGATAAAAGCTGTCCAACACTACTGGGGTCGGGCAGCAGGGATGAAATTTTTTTTTAAGTAGGATGGGGAACCCGATTCACGTCTGCTGGCATTTTGCAGGAAGCAGGACAGTTGGGATTTCAGGGTCCTGGAATCAATCTCCCCGCGCCCGGGGGCCAGGCCTCAGTCTCCCTGCACAAATCGGCATTTTCCAAAATAAAGCTGCGCGCAGCGGGGCGACCACCGCTCCCGAGCCGGGTGGGGGCGGCGGGTGACAGCGCGCCGAGGAGGTCACACGTTGCCGGCC